CCCCAAAACCCCAAAACCCCAAAACCCCATTTGGAAACATCACTTAGATTATAAATGATTGTTAAGTTAGATAAATTTAAATTTAAAATGGATAAATAGTCCAGATTATTCTTGCAACCTTTCATAAAGTCAAATGCTGTTAATGATTACATCATTGTTGACTCTATATTTGTACCAGATTCAGATCTACTGAGATTTAAAGCTTACCATAAAGCACAAAATTAATTAGTCGAGATTATAAAGGAAAAAGTCCTAATCACTGAAGTGAATATTAAAAGACTAAAAGCATATATTATTGCTCTAGAATAGAAACTCCTGCAGTTATTTGATTTTTTGTTAGAAGTAGACATGCTTAACGCGAACTACATTTATGTCTACAAGATTAAACTAGTAAAACAAGAGTAATATAATGATGATATCAGTATCTTTAAACTAGAAGATTTCCTTAATCTAAATCATTAAGAAATGGATATGCTTGAAAAAATTTAGATTTTATAGAGTATTATTAAGTTAACTCAGCAGCATTAATATTTGACAAAATGCCCGATCCTATGTTTAACTTTAGACAATATTACAGTAAAAAGAATTTCAAATGATTTTTTGATTGGCTTGAATAGCTTAGAAGTAGATATATCTAGGATTATTGCACTGCAGAAGCATGATAATTCACTTCTCAATTACTTACCTCCTGAACACCTTTTTAACTCACAAGAATATCATAGCAAGTGTGAAAATGATAATTGGATGATAGGATTGCTAATATTTAGAGTACTATTTGGATATGATGTTTTCTAGATGCCTAATACCTAAGAGAAATTGAATCAAATTATCAAAATAATTGGGCTGCCTAAAAGTTAAGCAGATATTCCCTATTGCAACTAAGAATTATACACCTCAATATTCGATTAAGTGAATTCTATTAGATCTAGGAGCTTCATTGATTATATACAATTTTAGGACATTGATTAATAGGGTAATTTGATCCTGGCAGATGTGCTAAAGCGTTTATTATGCTGGAATCCCTTAGAAAGAATGAGATTATCTAATGTGTCTGAATAGCTACATAAGCTTAAGAACTATATCAGCTAACCTTTTGGAAATAACTTACAATTGAGCCAATCTATATCAATGAAATAAGAGAGTCTAAAAAACTCTACTATTGAAGGATTTTAGATTTTCAAAATCAACACATAAAATTCAGTATTCCAAAGCAATAAAGTCCAAAAATCTGCTGAGGATACAGAACTAGAATTTTCCATTAGTCAAAAGCTCTCTACAAACAGACTGTCCTCAAAATAATAGAACTCTCCAATAAAGCACTCAGCAAGCATGACCTTTGAAAAGCTCATGGATAAGCAATAAGAGAATATACTAAACTTTTAAAAACTTAAAGCTAGATGCCTTGACTATTAAAAAGATTACCAATAAAAGAGAAGGTAATAGTCTAGAGACAATAGTTAAAGTGAAATTTCAAGTTTCAGACTATTGCCAGAAGGGTCCAACAAATTAAAGGAAAACAAAAACTTTATTAATATATAAGGTGATAACAATTCCTCAGCTTACATTTCACCAAGGGATTTTAATCTTAATAAGATTTCACTTAAGGATTCTATTGAAAAGAAATTACTTTACACTGATAGTTTGCATAAAAATGATGATATAATGTCCAGAAATATTGAAACAGTTTTAAAGCAGGATAAATTCCTCATTGATAGTTTGGATGAGAGAAGAGATAAAGATATAAGAGCTCTAAAATTACAATTTAATAGTATAGATGAAAGGAATAGAGATGATTATTAGATAAATCATAATGCGAAAACTAATAATATACTAATTTAGGAACAATTATGATAGAGATTATATTGATGGCTTAATAAGTATTTAAATTTCAAGCCAAGTTATTTTTTGGAAAATTTATTAAGTTTCAATCTGAGTGGGGTTTTGGGGTTTTGGGGTTTTGGGA